CTGGATTTTCTCTTATTCTTTTCAAGAGTTAATTAATAAACGTAGGCTCTTTAAAAGATTTTTTTTTAAAAAACACTGGGCTGGTTGCACAAAGACATATTCGACTCGTCTACAGATTTAGATCAGTCGTAGATACGTTCTTAGCGAGACAGTTTTACAAAAATGAAGACTGGCGAATTATTGGAATAATTGCGAATAATTATTCAAGCATTGTTAGAAATGATGCTGCGTTATGAGAAATGATAACATCAAGTAACTCATAGCTGTTTTTCAAACTTAGTTGGGTGTTTCACTATGGGACATATAGACCACTCTTGGACTTCATAACCTCTCGAAATGCAGTTCTGTTCTGTTCTGACACTCCCCTTGAATAGAGCCAACAAAGTGGCCATACTTCTGGTGGAAGAAGCCCTCAAACTCTGAGGGGCCTGTGAGGCACACCAGATATATGGCTTTCCAATGCAATGGGCCAGTCTCTGTTGGTATAATGACTTGCCTGTATGGCCCAGGACTTAAACAGCTCATCAGCTTTCCTGAATCTTGCTGTCCTGCTCACATGCACATACACAGGTCATGATGTGTTAAGTCTCTGTTCTTTCACTGAGGTGAATGGTGGTGGGTGAAACGTTGATAGATCCATTTAGTGGAACCTATAGGCTGAATCAAATTTAGGGACAAAATCTGACTTGGGCTGCAGGCACATCTTACACACTCTGGCTAGAGTGAGAAGGATCACGCTGAGAGGAAGGCAGGCATAGAGCAGGACGTTTGGCCACTGGGTGAGCAGCTACACACAGAGAAAAACATAGGAGTTTTCCTATAAGGTGTAGATATCTATGATTGCCTGGCCTTATCTCTGCCAGATTTGTTCCACAGCATGAGGGTGGAAGGTCTACTACCGCAAAGGGGGTTGCCCCATGACAGCAGATTTGGCCCCCCATGTTCATGCTACTCTAGATAATTATCTGCTAGGCTTCTTGTGTAGGAGCAAGTGCCACCCTGGTAGTCGATTTAAGTTAATACAGTGGAGTTGTCTGAAGTGTAGAAAATGTTTCAGTGCTAAAAACACTGCCTCAGGGACCAAATGTCATTTACTGCTCTGCCCATCATGGTTGCCCCGCACTCTGACAGGCATGCATCCATTGTCATTGTTAAACTGGAAAACAGTACTATGGCCACAGCTGATGCCCCTCCACTGATGCAGAGTGACAATGCAAGTCAATATTTTGTTTTTTTTAGCCTGAACCCAAGGTGATCACAAGGGCACAGTTGTGATAGTGTTACCAAATGTTGAAAATCCCTTATTATAAGAAGACTGAGAGATACTATAGATATCACTGAAGCCATAAGGCACATAGGGTGTAGGCAGTCTGAACGTTGCAACTTTCCCCAGCTGAAAAAGGGAGACAGAACCCTGGGATGGTTTATCACCTTAACAGAATCCCTGACTGCCTGCTGACATGCAATTGTGAGCATATAAGATAGTCATCTTTGTAGGAGAATATTCTGATGCTGTTATTTCTCAAAATGAACAGTTGGAGGGCCAGTTCCTAGCTGTCAAAGCAGCAAAGGCATGTTTACTTCAGGCCATGGGGTCTCAGTGTTGTCCTGCTTGTATTCTGGCACCCCCTGCCTCTGCCACACTGCTGCGGCAAAGCCGGTCTTGGGTACCCTTAGGGGTGCAAGGGATGTGTTTTGGGGGTAGGCAGAGGTCAATGGCTACTCCATCCTGCTTCCAGCCTCCAAGGCTGGGCTGAAAAGGCCTTGGTCGGGTTGTTGGCCACATCAATTGCCGCCTTCTGTTCATCACACATTGTTTGTGATCTTCAGCTTTGACTAGCCCTTGATAGGAAGCATACTCTTGAAAGAATTGGACCAGTAACAGTTTATTTCCTTCACAGTCTTTCAGCACAATCTGGAAACTGTGGAAAATGTTCTGGGAACAGGTTACCTATTAATAAGCAGTATCCAAGATAGCCTTGTGAAGATGAGGGAGCTAAGTATTGTTTCTCAAGGGAAGAGTGCAAGAAAGACTTTGGGAGGACGGGGTTTGACTGGTATGTCGGACAGATGTGGTGTCAACAGAGCTTCCAAGGCAATTCCCATAGTGAAAACACAGAATAAAGTTTGAAAAATAACTACTTTTTAAGAGCTTGTTACTTTTATAAATGAATCCTGATTTATATCATAACCGAAAATAATCATTCTTTAGTTTGACTTAGCATGAAAGGGAAACTTGGCGCTAATGCTCGAAAATTGATTTGCTCCTAATTCATCTGCCTCACCGAAATACACATGACTTAGCCCCTTTGCTATGCTAAAATGACAGTTCCATTTGCTCCTGGTCTAATCATGCAATCATTTACCATCAATTTGGGTGACTTTTACACAGATGTGAAAGTACCCATGAAAACTAATGGCCTAATACTTGGCGGTAGCCAGAATCACCATCAGTGAATGTTACCAGGCTCAAAGTAATGGTGTTCATGTAGATTTGGACCCTGAATAATGACAGTAAAGCTGGCTTAGGGGAGGAGGATTACTGGTTTCAGCAATGCAGAAAATATCTTAACTGGGATGGGATGGGTTAGTTGTTTTTATATCTATATATGGTTGGGATCTGATGGCATTTTATGGAAATGAATACAATATTAAACAAGCTTATTGAATCTGAATTATTTCAAATCCCTTATCGAATCTATTTTAGAAAGGGTCAGCTTTATACATTTGTAAATATATCTAAAATTCTGACCGTAATTAATTTCCGGGCAAAGTAAAAGTTGAGATGTATTCCTAAACATATTATAAATGTTAGAACATAATTTCTAAAAACATGAAAGGACCATGAGGTCTATTATTCTGAATTGTAGAGTTAGACCAAACTGTTTTAAAACCATTTTTTGCAATAAGGATATTTTGGGCAGCTTGAACAGTATATAATATCTAGAGCTACAAATTGAAAATATTTATCTACCAGGAGTTCTGATTCAGAAATATTAACCTGCCCATCTATAATTGCTTATATGATAAGAAAAAAAGTCTAGCTGAGCGCTCCAATATCTAAAATTGACATGGCGCAGCTAGATCTTTTTTCTAGAGACGTGCCAATCTGTTGAGTGAGGTTTCAGAATTTACCTCTTTTAAATTACAAATTACCATTTTACCCCTCACCTTAGCCTTACACAATTGTTACGTTAACCACAAACTTGACCTCAACCCAAACTAAACCCAACTCCCATCAATCATTTCTGATACGCAAAACTATAACTTCACTTTAACTTAAAGGCCAAATATAGTTTATTACAGCTGTGGATTTATTTTTGTTGTTTGGGAATCAGTTCACAGTAAAACTCTTAATAATTTTGGGACATGGTGACATCACTAAAAGGGAACCATCGGATGATCACATAGGTTGTAAACACACCACCTGGTTAGTCAAACCTACCTGGAAGAGAGAATGAAGGCAAGTGGTAAAAAAAGTGGTCTTTCTTTTCAGTGATGCCACCAGTTTCAAGATTACAAGATCTCAATTATTTTAGCAAGTTCAATGTAACCATAACCGATCTAGACATTGCTACAGAAAACACTATTTAAATGGAAAACAGGGTTTCGCACAAAAATAGCTTGCAGAAAGCACATTAACCAGACAAAAGCCAAGTTTATTTTGGCCTTTAAGCAAGTAAATTAATTTTGACCTGCAAAAACAACAGCCAGTGCCAGCTAACAATGGGAACCTGATTCATGGATGTTTTGTAACAAAGAGCGAGGAGAGAGAAAAGATTTGATAAGAGATTTGTAAATTATCAATCAACAACTGGCTATCAGAACCCAACCCTATCTTTATGGTTCTACAACGGAATATAATGTGATTCTAACGCAGACCCATTCAACATCCCTATTTCCATGCTTACTTGGCAAGTAAGCCAGCTTAGCTGCTAAGACATGTTAAAGCTAATCATTTCTAATACTGATCAGTTTGCTGCTAACACAAGAGAAGCATTTCAGCTGTGTATAATCTGTTTATGCTAAGGATTAAGAGTTCATGCTGCTAACATGCATACCAGCAGGAGGACTGACATTGACAACAACTGAACTGCTAACAGCCACTGTGTTCATGTAGAAATGCTGTGAACCTGGCGGTGTTAAAGTTGAACGAGCAGGGGCTGCTGGACAAACTGAAAAACAAGTGGTGGTATGACAAGGGCGAATGCGGCAGCGGAGGAGGGGAGAGCAAGGTTAATACACACACACACACACACATGTACACACTAAAACACACAAACATGAAGGTAACGCTGGGTTATCAGGTGTAAAAAAAGACCTAAAGAAGCAGCACAGTTATAACGCCACATGTGAAGGTACCAACGTGCTGTAGCTGTAGCCTTTCACATAAATCCAAGCACAAATCAATACTCATTGTTATTACATATACTAGATTTAGCAGTTGCTTATAAGCATCACCAGCAGGTAGCGTTGTTCTCTGTGCTGCTTCTTTTACAGATGTGTTGCACCCTGTTTGGTTGAGGTCAGGGTTAGGGCAGGCTTCAGGGGCAAGGTCAGGGTCAGGTGACCTCATACCAGATGGCAGCAACAGTGCAGGAGAAGGGCTGTTGATAAAGAGTTTGTGCAAACTGGGCAAACTCCGTTTATCTATGGCTCTGGCCTGGAGGAATACTACTGCTGAGAAAGCAGAAAGGCTTTTCTTTGCAGCACCTCTCATTCTCTGTCTCTGAGGCCAAACAGAGGGGCCTTGACAGTAAAAGACTTGATTCTTAACAGTTTTGTTACAGACTTAAAGGTCTACACAGTCCACTGGGGGCTCAAATAATCTCCCAAACCAAGCTTTAATGCTGTGTCATTCATGACGAATGAAGTCCCTGCAAATAACAAACATTAGTTGGCCCTGTCTTGGTCACTAGACCAGAGTGTGAGAATTGCTGCGCCACTAATAACATAAGATAACATTGATAATGATGTTATTTATGTTATTTCCATTAAAGAGTGCCAATAAACCTTGTCGTATTGAAACTGAATGAGCAAGGGACCCTAGACAAGATGAAAAACAAGTGGTGGTACGATAAAGGAGAGTGTGGCTTCAAGGACTCCACCAATAAGGTTAGTTTTATATGTCAAACACGTTGTCTGTTCACACATGCACATATAGCTTGGTTCTATAGCTACACTTTAAGATCACAGTAGTTTAACATGTTCATATGTGTTAACCTGAAGGAAACACAACTTGCACAGAATGGTTAAGTACAGATTAGTTCCAGCTGTATGTAATGCTAAGGACACCCCAGGTTAAAGCATGGAGGTTTAACTGTCAAACTGTAAGTATAATGTTGACAAGAACAATAACAAATAGTGTCCTGAAAACAGAGTGGAACGTCTTAAGATAAACTCACTGTGCATTAGCAGTTAGGCTCACTGAATTGTTTGTTTTGTCTGTTTAACACTGATGTTTAAGTCTGACCGTCTGTCTGAAACCTGATTCTGACACACAGAGTTTCAAAGTTAATGTCTTGCAAAGTAAGAGTTGTAAATGGAGATTTCACAATAATCACACATTATATACATGGAAAAGGTAATGCGTTGTTATGTGGGGTAATGAAGGGGATAGCCATGTCTGTAGGTTAAGGACTTTCTGAAGGGTAGGCATATTGCGTCAAGGCAATTTTATTGAAATTTTGTTGTTTGTTTCCCCCATTTCTGTGGGTTTAGGCGTGGGTGTATCTGCTCTGCAAAAGGCTACACCCAGACCCTTCAGAGGGGCCGAGCTTCTTTTACATAGAATATATTACTCTCAACTTTGAACAGCTGGATGACCTTACAGGAGGCGGCATGTACCTTATAGGATGAAGCCCTGTTTCCCTTGACTCCTGGAAACTCAAGCTCAAGGCAATCTTTAAGCATTATATGATACATAGATGGCACTTGGTGACTTGGCAAAACTGTGAGGGTATGGATAAAACAGTTTTGGTACATGAAAAACGAAGCCCTTAGGTCCACTTACCTGATTTCAGGTCTTTCAGTTGCATCTCTTAGTCTTCTTCACTAAATGGAAGTGTATCAGGTGTCATCATCACATAAGTGTGGACCGTTTCCCACACTTGGTTCACATGATGACAACTAAGCCTGCCCCATTCACTGATGAAGACTCTCTGTTTCATTTCTCCGACGGTATACTCTCGCTCTAATAAATACCGCTGAATATCCAAGCCAGCCAAATCACTGTAAAATGTATCTTTGTCCATAAAGTCCTCTGCACTCATATTTTAGGATGCCATTGTTGCAAACGTAACTATTTAGCAATACAAACGAAGGAAGGGGACCAGCGACATTGATCCTGTAAAAAGATGCAAAGCTGCAAAAGACAGACCTGTATGCCTCCCCAATTACCTCAGCAATTCACCTGGAAAGGCTCTGTCTTGGACAGGATGTGCCATTTCCTGGGGCCCCCACACTAGGCAAGGCACGACGAGCCCCGTATAAAAGGCCTTAGGGCCCTCACTGGGCAGAGTAGTTCTGCTAAACAAGCTTCCTCGTCCTGTTGGCCTATAGGTCCTGTAACCCTAACCCTGAGTCAGCATCTTTAGGAAGAACGATGGGTTAGGTCAAAGAAAACAGATTACACAGGAGTAAAAGCAATCCTTATGCTGTGTTCACACCACCATTTTGTTGCTTTTGTCATTCGTAGTGTGAACATTGTATTTGGCTACATTTCTTGCCGAGCTTTAGAGCTGGTGAAGATCTTATCCATAATGTTAGGCACTCAGGGTAAACACCTGTCTGTGAGCCAAGAGATACAAGTGTAGCTGTGATAGGAGGACGTAAACATTGCTCCGACCATATAGTTACAGGCCTACTAGCAAAGAGTATATGATTACCTGCTTTTTCATTCTAAGCTTTTAGTTTAAACCTGTATTGACGGATTACCTGCGAGAAGCTGCAATAGGCATCTTTGATGATGACATAGACTGTAGGCAAGGCTTCCCTTCATCATCCCAGGTCACATAGGAAGGATAACGTACAGTGTTACGCACTGCGTTTGGCCTTCAGGAAGAATGAAATAGAACACAACAGTTTCCAATTTTTCTATCGTTTATGATGAAATTGTACTCATCAAAGTAACTGCTGACTTCTGTGAACACAGTGATGTCAGTGAAAAAAAATTCACATCTGCATAAATACACTACATACAAAGGTACACACATATTTACACATAGACAAACTGATAAAAGGTAAGAATGGTTTAAGTGTGTGCAGGTCAGGTTTACCCTAGTTGTCTGTGACTCTGTGCTGTCTTAATCTTAAATAATCTGTATTTATGAGGAGTTAAATATGTGCAGATGACAGGTTAATGGTAGTGTGTCAGGCTGTTAACATGAAAACACCCACTAACACTTTTCTCTGGCTGGCTGCCTTCTTTTTTTGCCTTTGTGTGTGTGTGTGTGTGTATTAGGAGAAGACCAGCGCCCTGTCTCTCAGTAACGTAGCAGGGGTCTTCTACATCCTGGTCGGAGGTCTGGGTCTGGCCATGATGGTAGCGCTGGTAGAGTTTTGCTACAAGAGTCGCGCAGAGGCCAAAAAGATGAAGGTATACCTTGTATTTTCAAATACCAATTTGAATTAACTTTCCATCTTAGAAACAGTTAGTTTTAAATCTGCTACATGTAGGATTCTCACTAAAAATACTGAGACTGAATTTGTGTGATGATTAATGAAACAAATACAAATGATCGAATGCCTTCCAGTCAGAAAACCAGAAAAGCAAAATCCTGTGTGGTGAAATTATATGTGTGAAATTGATATGATATAGAAGTGCATTCGATGTAATGTAAGAAATAGTATGCCAGTGTCTTTATGATATTATCTATGTATTAGGTTACAATCAGTTGCCAGTTTATTAGGTACATCTTCATGGTCATTTTTGCTGTTGAATTTTATTGCATTATACTTTATACCGTCCATCCTATTTAGATCAAGGGCATCGTATAAAATAATCTAAACACCCCTCAGTACAACACAATTCTGTACAGTACAAACTCCAGCCTCATGACCATTAAGTTTAATCAACACCTCTCTAAAAGAAAAACTGAACCGTAGAACCTTCATGAAGGTAGGATTTATTCTAGGGCTGCTGGAGTAGACTGCATTAGTTGTAGCTCAGTTGACCTAATAAACTAGCAAATGAATGTGTAAAGGACATCTGAAGTGCACAACTAGGAGTCTTACCTCAAATTCATACCAGACGCAAGATCTCATCAGTGCGTAAACCCTACAGAAGCATCAGTCGACACTTGGTTTCAACCTTATTTGTGAAGTTACTCTCTTAAGTATATACCCAGACAGATGTTTTCATCTTCTCGCTGTGTGTCTGCTCCAAAGCATTTACAAACTACTTTCTCCGGCCATCCACTGACGTCTGGTCAACAACTAATGTTAATTATTAATTAAGGTTTCTTGCTGTTTCACTGACCTGGTGTTCCCTACAGGAGCCTGTTTTTAGTTTCTACCAGAAATCTTAAGGTTTTGAATGGTGTGTGGTAAACACTGTCAGATTTATAGTGATTCAGTGTTTTTATATTTGCTAGTCTGAGTCATGTTTCTGGCCACCTGATGAATGTAAATCCTAAGTGAAATATATTTCTCTTTGGCTGCTAAATACCAGCTAGTTCACCAGCTAGTCTCTAAATAGTCTCTAACTGTTCCTGTCTACTGTTTGGTGTTGAGCTGGTAGTGTACAGTGGATGTTTTTAATGCTTTTCCACAAAAATGACTATTACTATTTTTATTAATATTATATTATATTTGCAAAAGGACTAACGGGCTAAATGCTCTATGGTGCAAATGGAAAATTTTGTGGGAAAGGTTTTAAAGCCGGCAATTATTTTTCAGAATTACAAATTTCCTCCTCATATATTTGTTAATAGCTTGTGGACCTTTAATTTCAAGCTCAAAACACATATGGGCTCACTGGGTCTGTCCCAGTGATGATAGTGATATTCGTAGTCTTATTCATGATTATTCTGGCTGTTTTTTTCAGGTTGATATTTTGCAAGCACAATCTGCAGAATTCAGAACAGACATATCACCTTTATATCATTGTGTTTCCTTTGTATTTTATTTACTGAAATTGGGGCAATTTAATGAAGTCGTCAGTGATAATGCATTTCTGTCATAATGTAATTGTCGTCTTTTTATTCTTTCATTATTTGCAACATGTGTAGACAGGTCTTAAAAGGCCATTCTCTGTCTCTGTCTCTCTCTATCTCTCTCACTGTCTATTGTAATACAAATCCATATTGCTTTTGCAGTTATCTATTTTTGGTGCCATCAGTACTCAAACTATTGTTGTAACATGAATTAGTCATAACAGTCACATGGCTAAAGAGTCATCATTGTTACAATCAGTATAGTAATAACAATGACTTTATTTGTGTTATGAAGGTGGCAGCCAACACCTTGTCGTCCCCCCAGCACACAGGAAACTACACACACACTTTGTCCTCTCCTCAACATGCCCCCAACTTCAACATGCTGTCCCCCAGCCACCAGCCAAACTACGCCACCTATAAAGAGGGCTACAACGTTTACGGCATTGAGAGTGTCAAGATCTAACACGGGTAGGAGAGCGATGATTGATGGCTAAAACTTTCCTAACCTCACAGTCATAGACAATGTTTAGACAATTCACTTGTAATTGGCTTTCATTCATACCATCGAACAACAGCTGCATTCACATTATGGTGGTGCATAGCAGCTTCAATGGCAAACTGCATTATTGGGCCGCGATGATCCATAATGCAATTTGTGGGAAAACTTAACTTTGTTGATTCCCCTTAACTGTTTTTGATTGCTTTTAAGCCACAAGCAATGAAACTCTGAGTGGCTCAAATGCTCTTCTCTGTTCTGGTAGGCTGTTAAGGAGTGATTATTGTTTAGTTTTAGTAGCAGTGATTTCACATTGAATCGGAAAAAAAATTGCAAAATCAAAGAGAAGATAATTAGTGAATGAAAACATTTTAATTTTCTATTAAAAAGAGGTACTGAGGCCTCAATCGGCTGGTCACCAGACAGCTATTTCTTTTAAACCATAATTGTTTGACATACCTGGTTTTATTTGAGATCATGGAAACTGGTTTGGTACAGCTTGAACAATTAGACCCATCATTTAAACGGCAAATGCGTCTATCACTGCAATGACCATTCATTTTATGGGACGCTCAGGCTCCAAATAAATAAATGACAGACAAACAGATCTTCTACTGTCCAAAGACAAAAATGTGATTCCAAGTTTTAGTTCAGCAAGACTCCAAGCTGCTGATTTGTTTCCAATTGATTAGTGGTGGTTTTAGATGTAATACTTAATCAATAGTATAACCTGCTCTGAAAAGAAAAAACACAATGCTTTTGATCTGTATGATTTCATTATTGTCCATGAACCTGGAATCTTTTTGCTTATTTGCATTATCACTACAATGAGACAAAATTTGCCGCTGAGGCTGACTGGCATTGCAGAGTGGTATGATTTACTGCATATTCGGAATGCAGCAGTTGTTCTTGGTAAACAAAAGTAACATGAAGACCACAATAAAGTCTCGATTAACACTGCATACAAGGTATCTTGTCAAAACTGTATATGGCTGTGAAACTCCTTTCCTTTGTTCACTCATTACCCAACAGCTTGCTCACCTCCTCTATCCCTTTTTCTCACCTCCCCTGACCTCTCCTCTCCCCTTAATCCCACCTCCTACCCTCTCTACACTCCTTTACCGCTCTCCTTCCTTTTCTCCTTTCCTCTCCTCTATTCCGCTGTCTTTCTTGTCCTCTTACCCACTTCCACTTTTCCCTTTTTACTTTTTGCCTTTCCTGATCCTCCTTTCTTACTTTCTAGCCAATCATCCTCTTTAATTGACTTTAATGGTCATTGGCCAATCATTGCCATCCGTCTTAATATCAGCTTTTCATTAGGCAGGCCCATGATTTCATTTTGAAGATGGGATGGTTTATATAGTAGCATCATCAAACGCTGGACTTCTTGGTAAAACAAATGTAAGTGTAATACCACCGCAGTACAGTGATAAATACCACTGTTCCCTTTAAGTTGATTTACTCGTTACAACACATGGGATATCACACCCCTGCATGGCCTGATTGAAGACACCGTTTATGAAGCATAAGAAGTGAGCTACTTATGCTCTGATTGGTTACTTCAGTGTTACAGACAAAAATACTAAAGTAAAGCAGGCAAAGAAAAAGTATCCAATCGGCCTACCATGAGTGTGATTCTTCTAAGAACAGAAATGACTTCCTGGGGATTATTGCCTCTTGGAAAGTATTGACTGAGCCTCAGTTGTGCATTTTGTTGCCAGATTCAGTACTCAACCCGGGAATGGTGGGTCACGTTTGTGGAGAAAGTGAGGCGGCGTAAAGCATTTCTCCGACTTTCCTGCACTTAGCTAGGTTGACCATATGGAATATGTGTAAGATTTAGCAGAGTTGAAGGTCGAGCCCTCTGAAAGCACTAGCCAGCAGCACCTTGAGCTCGCTTATGGCCATGATGACCATGACATTCTGGACATGGCTTGGATATACATGGTCTGTCAGAAGATGAACAAGAGCCTTTGCCTTGAGACCAGAACACTGCTCCTGCGTTGTTTAGGCTGGATGACGCAACCTCTTTCTCCCTGTACTGTCGGGTAGCTGAGAAACTGGCTTTGGAGTGGACCTCTCCTTTGCCAACCATCTAAGTTCGCAGCGTTTTTCATCTCCCTGAGCCATCTATTTCGATTTTGTTAATGCGGCTATAGAAAATTTCCCAGGAGCAGACAGGCTCTGTTCGGGCCCTTTGCTCTGGCCCCATGCTACAAACTTATCAGGCGATCTGTCTGGTAATCTGATAATATTGCTATCACAATATAAAAGTTCTGTAATCAGATTACTTTTCATTACTTTTGGATTACCTCAATACCAAATATACAAATAAAGACAAGAGAAAAGAAAAATGCTGAAATGTCCCCATTGATTTGTCTGCTAAAGAGGGAAAAACATCACAGTGCAGCACATGTTCTGCCTTCTAGCTGTGAAAATTCTGCCATCATCCGAATCATTTGGCACATTAGTGTTCATCAGTTCCTATATTAATTCAATTAAATTATCAAATCTCTAGGTCTGTGCCATGTAGTTTTTTACATTCAAGCTTATTTCATATTTTATGATGTCCTCACCCTAAAATTATATAATATTGTGTTATTGATATTGTGTTATATGAATGGAATTCATGGTGCTGTTGCTGCTAGACCGCCCTTTTAACACAGGTGCGCATCATCCTTTGTGTTTTTTGACTGCAGTGAAAATGTAGTTTTTGAAAAGCTAAACATCAACAAATACACTTAGTAATGGGGATATTTCCACCTAGTGGAATAAATGCTTTCTCTAACGTGGGCCACACTACCTGCCTCTACCTGATGGCTTACAAGTTTCACCAAATGTATCGGTAATCTGATCTATGTCTTTTTATCTGTATCTCCAATGGAATACATTCACCTTTTTTTGTATAATTACATAATGCTGTTCCATGTAATCAGTTACGTCTGCTGGTGAAGCTTGGAGCGCCGATGCTCCGAAAGTCCATTGACTGCCCTGATCAACAAAATTAGGATAAACACGGATGACATCCCCAAACACAGTCTCCCAATTCCCTCTTTTTTGCACACAAATGCACTTGTTTCCAAAGCTTGTCAAGTTAACAATGGTCTCTCAGCTCATAAACAGTGATTTATGTGCTCATAACAGAGCAGGTCAAATACATCCAAATTAATAAATTAATGCCATCCTCAATTTGCTCACCAAAGGGCAGCAGCCGCTCTCACTATGGTGCTGCAGATCTGTCAGCTTGCAGTGGGTTCCCTGAGTGATCTACAGTGGTAGATTCAGTATGCGTAGAGAGAACGGTAGCGATTTATTATCGGTTTCAGTTTTGGTTATGCCAACTGTGTTTGTGTCATCAGTACGCTGTGAAAGAAAACAATCCAGTGGTTCTACCTTCAGAGTTTAGCCGAGGTTGTTACAGCCTTAACTTTGTTGTTTTGCAGAAAGGAGGGAAACCGTACCCCATTTTAGACCTGCGAGTGTCTCTATTTTGAGAGAGTGCATCCTGTTGTTGGAGGCTCAGGTGTCGGATCATTTCGAAATTGTCTGTTTACCTCCAGGGAGAATCCCCCGTTTTTTTCCAAAACACATAACGCCTTAGGTCTAAAGTCAAGTTTAATGTTCCTTCATGGGTCTTGACATCAGTGCTTGAGGCTCTTTGTGGTTGCACCTAAATGCATCTGAAGTACCTTAGGTTACTGTATCTGTGTAGTGTACAGTATAGTGGCTTTTAGGGTCCTATGCTTTAGCCCAACTCCTTTCGTATTTGAGGAGCAGAGGAGTTATGTGCTCTGCGAGTGTTACACACATACATAGATTACACTCAAATTGTGTTTATTTGACCATGTTCATCGGTGTTGACAATGCGAGAATGGATAAAACTCTGTCTAAGCTGGGGCTTCTCTGGGCTTGTATCAGCAAAAGTTTTTATTGCAGACCCGACCAGGGGCAACGTCATGGGAGTGAGTGAGCCAGTTGTTCTCAATTGCTTTGGTTCCGTTTAATCTTTCAGATGAAACGTTTATATGTTCCTGCTTAATCAACACTATAAACTAGTGTTGGATATTAGCCTCCTCCGTATAGCTGCTTTGGGGGGAAAGTACATACGTCGCAAATTATTTGTGTTGTACGGAGTGAATCAACCAAAAGGAAAGCAATGATGGATATCATTTCTCCTTCCTAAATGAGAGGAATGAGGTACACTACCATATTTTTAGTCTGGCCACACAAAGACATGATATTCTATACTATATGTGTTGTACCTTGTTTCTCTTCTTCAGGAAACAAAAGCTATAGTCATTTTATTTCCTTAGTTTATCTTCACTAGTTTATTAAACCATTCGGTGAAATCATTGATTTTAAAACCTCATTCAAGCATAAGATGTGTTCCTAACAATGAGATAATGTGAGAAGTTTCTTTCCTCCAAACCAGAATTCATTCTCAAATAATGTCAATGTTTCTTCCTCAATGATTTGATTTGCCTCGACACTTCTGGTCATACTGCAGCATACCCGATACTTTCCTTTTATACACATTGTCACACAGTATGTCTTGCTGCATTTAGTGCCTTCAGGAAATGTTGTAGATTTTAAAATAATTCCTTACATTTCTGTCTCTCTCTTTCTCTCTCTGTGTGTGTGTGTGTGTGTGTGTGTGTGTGTGCGCGCGCGCTCACACACACACACAAACACACATATAGCCTATGGCTTGATACCGTAAACTAAGGCAACATGTATTTCTATTCATTTGAAGGATGTGAAGGATGAAAATAATCTCTGCAATAACCACATTGCAGAGAGCTTCAAAATGAGTGGGTGATGTGGAATGACACTTTATAATGTTGTGTGTAATTTTATAATACAAAAACAACATTTTGAGTTAGTGTGCATTTTCTGGTAAAATGTAGAAATATTTGAATCTTCGTGGATAAAATAACCAGACAGAAATGTTTTGGTTGTGTAAAAAAATGAAAATCACTGAACTGTATTACATTGATGCGAATTCTATTGAAATGCAATATTTCTCTTAAAACAATTCAGGGCTTCCGCCAGAAAGTGTTCAGCCAAGTGGATTTTTTTTTTTTGGTGGGGTGGAGCTGAGCAAAACCTTTAGGAGAGACTTGTCACTAAAATGAAAATAGCTTGTCCGCCTTAAAGGACAGTCCACCTTAAGTGAGCATGGGCCGCTAACTCCCTTCACATTAATCAACAGGTGACAAGCAAGATATAGGAATGTATTCACAGCCAAATAGTCTAAACTGTACAAACAATGCAATACTACAGTCACATTATTCACGTTGCTGCTTACTTCATACTCACCAGCACACCTCTCTCTCTCTCTCTCTCTCTCTCTCTCTCTCTCTCTCTCTCTCTC